TTCGTCGTGAAGTTGAGCCTTGGAATTGGACATCCTTCGTCATGAAGTTGAAATCCAATGTAAGTTACGCTGTTTCGAGGCCAATATCCTCCGTTGTGAAGTTGAAATTGACTTTGAAACTTGGAAGTTTGTTGACAGACACTCTTTCTTTGAGTTGGATATATTTCGTCGTGAAGTTGAAATCCAAACTAGAGATGGATGTTGCTTGTGTGCATGATTCCCTTCGTCGTGAAGTTGAAACTGCGGGTGGCCCCTTCGTCGTGAAGTTGAGCCTGAAATTGGATATCCTTCGCCGTGAAGTTGAAATTCAAGTAAGTTGTATTGTTCCGAGTCCAATATCCTCCGCCGTGAAGTTGAAATTGGCTCTGGAACTGGAAAATTATTTGTTGACAGCCAGTCATTCTTTGAATTGGATATCCTTCATAGTGAAGTTGAAATCCAAATCTGGAGATGGATAATGCTTATATGCACGATTCCCTTCGTCGTGAAGTTAAAATCGTGGATGGCCCCTCCGTCGTGAAGTTGAGCCTTGAATTGGATATCCTTTGTCGTGAAGTTGAAATCCAAGTAAGTTTTATTGTTTCGAGTCTAATATCCTTCGTCGTGAAGTTGAAATTGGCTCTGGAACTAGGAAATTATTTGTTGACAGTCAGTCGCCCCTTCGCTGTGAAGTTGAAATTGACTCTGAGCGAATCTGAAAAGTTACTTGTTGACAATCAGTGGCCCCTTCGTTGTGAAGTTGAGCTTGTGTTGTCTTGAGTCCAATATCCTTCGCTGTGAAGTTGAAATTGGCTCTAAATGAAACTGAGAAGTTGTTTGTTGACAACCAGTCGCCCCTTCGTTGTGAAGTTGAGCTACCACCATCAACTTTTGAATGTGTTTTTGAATCGAGAATCTTTCATCTTGAAGTTGAAATTTGACTCTAAAAGTTGTAAAAAATTATGTGTGCTAAAAATGATAAATGTGATGCTCTTAAGTATGTCTAAAATGCAGGCAACATGAATGAGTTATGTTTTATCTCTTGGATTGGAGTCACGTGTTTTGTCTAGCAATATGGTCCATGGAATCGATCGTGCCCCATTCTCTTTTCAAGCTTTGGCTTTACAGACATTTCATATCTGAGACTGTCCTGTTTGAAAATGTTTTTCTCATTTTTTTTGTTTTAGGAGGGAAAATGATAAAAATTATGTAAAATATTGTTCGCAATTGAATCAAATTGTAAACATGAGTTCAAAGTATATCAAATGAATCAATAGCTCTTTTTAATGCTTTCAGAGTTATAGCTCTTTGACAAATGTTCAAATGGATGAGTTGACTTCAGGTTGATTTCATTTCTAAGGTTTCGGTAACCTAAAATGTCATTTTTTTGAAATATCGCAATATTCTTTTTCTTTGGTTTGGCATTTTAATTGGGTGCGAACAAAATGACGCAACTAGCATGATCAGTTACTAGACCTTTTATTTCAGTCCTATGAAATCTTTCATTTGTTCAAGTTTTGTAAGCTTCTCTAACAAAGGTAGTGCAAAAATATCAGTCTAAAATGAAATTCTTGAGTGCTCGTGTGTATTTGACTATAACAGGTGTTCCTTAACTCTCCTAGTCCATCATTACCGAAAATTTCTTGTTTAGATAAATTTGATTTAATTTGTCATTATCTGGCTAGCCAAATCCATAAAGCCAGGGCATTTAACCAATTGCTTTAGAGGGAAAGCTTAATATTATAATCACTTTTATCAGGTTAACTGAAGGGTTCATCTCATCACAAAGTCTTCAGCCTGACAATAGTAGTGGAGCAAACACCGAGTTGCCAAGTGTCCGAGCAATGTCATAGTTTGAACACAATCTATTCATAAAGCCAGGGCTTTCGAGTTTCCTCTATAACCAATTGCCTTAGTGGAATAGCTCAGTTTTTACGGATTTAATTTCTTAAGATTATCAAGAACCTGTTATAGCCTAGGTGTTGTTAAAAGTCAAGGAATCTCATCTTTAGAGTTCAATTTCCAAGCAAATGGCCTAAACTAGATTTTCTTACTCGACTATTCCATATGTGAAGATTATTATCATCATTGAACGTCTTAAATAAAAAGTATAGTAATGTCATATGCAAAAGGATGTCTCATGTTGTCCGCACCTTATGAAAGGAAAAAGTTACATTGGTTAATTGCAAGAGCAGGGTACGGTGTTTGAGTGTATATTCTGGGTAATGTCAAAGTCCTTGTTTTAAATCATGTTACTTTGTTAGGGATTCATAACTTTAAACCATTTACAGAGCTTCTTAATTCAGTTGACATTCAAAGAATTACAAGTTTGCAAATGTGATTCATTCCTCGTCATCATTAAAGTAACATAAATCTATTCAAATGTTCTTACAAAAACTTGAGAAAAAAAAAAACAAACTCAAACAAAATGCCTTAAATGATGAAATGATCTGCCTCACTTGGATGCCCTCGAGTTGTTGAAGTCGATCCAATTCTTGTTATGTATTTTCTGTACGATTCTCTTGAATGTGGAGTAGTTCTTGATAGTGCGCCCTGGGACACCGCTATGATATTCGCAATGAGCATTCTCATCATACTACCTGGGGTACAGGGGCTTCATGGATTTCTCTGGATATGGTGACATCACATGTGCGTCAAACAATTTTTGATAAAGCTCCTTATATGTCATAGGATCAAAATGTTCTCATTTTTGATGAGACATGTGAACGTAATAAAAAGGAGAAAAGTAATGTGAAATATGCAGGAATGCATGATGCATACAATGTTTGAGGCATTGGTCCAAAAAATGTGTTTGTTATTAGAATAATTCTTATTGGGGACAAAAGTGTTTTATCTTTTAAGAGACAAAAATATCCTGACAGCTTCTAATATGTTGACTAGTCTTTTGCCTTTGTCTGTCACCGGTTGAATAACCTGTCGAACCGCTCTGGCTTCTCTAGATGAACTGTGCAAATGACGAATTGTTTGCCAAAAAAAAAGTCTCGAAGGACTGCACCTCTGGCTTCTATTTTCTGTTGAGTCTGTTCCCTAACGGCAACACCATTGGAGCCCTCCATCGATAGAAACTATCCGAAGCTTGCTTCTTGAATTCGTCAGCAATGGCATTCAGCTCAGCTAGGGTTTCGTCATCTTGTTCTCGTAGTTTTCGAAAGGAGCGTCCGAGTCAGTAACCTTTCCTCGTTTTGCCCCTGCAACCTTTGCCAGTCAGTTCTTCAAAGATAGACTTTCATTGTGCTTGATGTAGACCCGGTTCATTCTGAGTCCTTTATAATGCAATAGAGTGATATACTCTTCAATTGTAGGTACCACGTCTTCTGGATTGAATGTGACACATAGTCGCCTTGTAGATTGTCCTCTGTATTTTCATCTCTTGTATTACAACCCCTTTGTTCATTAATGTAGATTATTCATGTTTAACAAACACATTTTTGGTGAATCAATACCTCTTTTAAATGATGCAAGTGATGAAAATAAAATAAAACAAAACAAAAAATGAAAAGAGTTAGTGAGGTGAAAATAATAAAAAAACAATCATGAAGATAAAAGTCCTACCCCACATGATATCTACCCCACATGTTTTAATTCCTACTCGGACATGATCTCTATCCCGCATGCTAATTTCAAACAAATCTTAACTGCATATTTGTCTAGTTCGCATGCTTTAAATAGAAAATAAAGCAAGAAATAATCTCGAAGCAGCCTAGGGTTTGAAATGAGGTTTTGGGTGGGCTCTAATTCTCCATGACCTCCTGGTTTTGGTTCTAAAAAACGGTACCTGAGTTCTCCTTGCTGGTGCCCCCTTGGGCTTGCCAGACTCTTAGTCCTAAGCCTATTACAAGCTTGTGTGGACTAAGTTAAACTCGAGAGGACACATTCTCTTATGTCTGTGCGGTAAATAAATTCACAAGAAGACATAAGGTATATGAATCCTGAAGGCTACTTGATAGGCCTGTGCGGTAAATAATTTCACACGAAGGCGTCGCTTTCACCCTTACTTAAATAGGGTTCAGAGCTCGGGTTTAGAGCCTTAAGTGAAATTTTGAAAAATCTGATATCATTAAAAAACGTCAGTACAACTATTTATTTGGAAAAAATAATCAAAGGTAAATAATTATAATTGAATAAATAAATAAAAATTGAAACTTGTAATTTTCGCTAAAAAAGACAACCGAAAATTAATTTCGGCCTGACTCACTTACCTGTCCCCAACAGAGTCGCCAAGCTGTCGCGACCGTCTTTCGGTTGTACCCGAAATTGGGCTACGACTTGAATAATTGGGTTAGAGTCGCCACTGACCATTTTAAAACGAATTTAGGTGGGTCGGACACCATCTTACCTGAACTACGTTTTACTAGAAACGTGTCGGATTCGGGAGTCGGTTACGGTCAAGGAAGGATTAACACCCTTAAACCTCCATTTCGATACCAATTAATTTGTCGGTTGTCTTAATTGTGAAAATTGAAATTAAAATTAAAATTTAAGAACTTGATTTAAATCGCTTGCCTTTAATTAATTAAAAATTCCCCAACAAAGAAGAGCAGTTGTTCAACTTGGGTGTGATTCGTGAGAAGATCAAAATTCAGAGTGACGATCGAATGCAGAATTCGCTCCCTAACAAAAATGCAATTGAATGAAAAAATGGAGAATTTAATCCCGCTTAGTCTCGGCAATGGCCAATGGCCGGTGGGTACTTACTCCAATGATCACGTAGCGCCAAAGAGAAATTGAGAAGACCCGATTATATGAACATTAAAAGGAGAAGACAAAGCCATGGAATTAATAATTAAAGCACTATGGAATAAAGACAATGCCATGGAATTTCAATAATTAAAGCATTATGGAATATGACAAAGCTATAGAATTTAATAATTAACAAACTATGGAACAAGTCAACAAGATAAAGCCATGGGATTTAATAATTAAATCACTATGGAATTTGAAACTTTGATTTATAATAGGATTAAAATTATTGGAAAATCAAAAGAGTAAAAGAACCTGTTTGGCGTCATGGTTGGCTCCTTGGTTTTGCGAAACTGGTTTCAGATTAACACCTGAAATTCCATCCACTGCTGTGCCTTCATCAATTGATATTTGCCTTCGCTTATAGCGGCTTCAACATCATTTGTGTGGCAGGCCGTTACAGGTACAAGGGGGTCCGGAGATTGCACGCCTGAGGTTGAGCTATCCTTTACTTCATGTGCTAATTCATCAACCTTGTCCAAATCCAAAGAAAGCTTGGAGCTAGTGAGTTCATCCACATCTCTGGTATGAACAGAATTTGAATTGTTAAGCCGCTGTCTTAGTGCTTGAAAACTGGCTGCTAAATCATCAACGCTGTTTCCATTCTAATTTTGCAGCATTCTTCTGTAGCAAGCGAAACAAACTCCCACGTGAAAGGAATTCAGTGACAATGCGGAGACGTTGAGGAGAAGTGACATCTCCCATGAATAGCAAAACATTTGGGTGCCGGAGTCTTTTCATTAGAGAAACCTCCTTACAACCCAGTGAACAGAAACGAAAAGGGTCCAAGAGTGTACTTCCACAGATTTCATATAAATGAGAAACTCCCAATTTCCCAGATTTTGGTTGAGGTCTCTGGTTCAGAAACAAGACGCTGGCACTGTTTATCACATAAGTTTGCGCACCAGTTATGTCAAACTTTTTGTGAATCTCTGTCACCCTCACTACAACATGATACGAAGATCTCCTTATCTTAATCACTTGATGATTTTTGTGTTTACAAGAGTGGCAATAAAAGCAAAACGAATCGTCTCTATAGTCTAAACAATACATATTACATTCCCCTCTAGCTGCAGCATCGCCGTGTATTCTGCAAACTATGAAGAACGTCGTGCTCAGCAATGGCTCCAGCCATGGCGGCACCGGCATTGTAAAGAACGAAGAGAAAGAAAGAGTGGGAAACGGTTGAAATAAATTTTGCAACAAGAAAACGAGGGTGTTGAACAAATGAAGGTGATGATGAGTTTTGGACGGACTAGATTGAACGCGGTGGCTAATGTTTTACTTTCAGTCGTTGGATGGAATGGAGACAAGGATGGGTTTGGCGCTTTTGAGAGATGAAAACTGAAGTCTCCATTAATGGTGGATGATTTGAGGTGAGCGAGACCATCTTCCAGTTTTTCCTTCGTGTCCCCCTGAACCAGTGGAAATACCATATATTTAATAGGTGTCACGAGATGAGGAGGAAGCAGATGTGAGGAGCGAAATTTGGGGGTGAGTTGGTTGAGTGGGTTAGTTTTAGGTGTTTAGTGGTTTAGTGGAAGTGGAGTAGGTGGTTTTTTTATTGGTAGGGTGAAAAAAATATTAAAAAGTATTAATAAAATAATAATAATTTATATAAATGTATATTTGTATGGTAAAAAAGTGTGTCTACACATTCGACTTAATTTTTTGAGATAAAATTTGAATTCGACTCAACCACTTTGAAATAATAAAAAATATTATTTTTATTCAATAAAAATAAAGATTTAATTAAAAAAAAAATATAGAGAGCTATTATTGTAATTATCCATAAATATATAAGATAAAATTATATTAACGTTCTCCCAAGATTAATTGCTGAAGTAGGACGAATTGCACAGTGTTGGCCGTAGGTCGCCATGCCTTCCGGGCGACCTACGACGTGGCAGCTTCAGATGTCCCATGCACAACCCAACCCATAGGTCTCCATGCACTCCCAGCGACCTCCTAGGTCGCCATGCACTCCGGGCGACCAAGGAGGTCGCCATGCACGCCCGGCGACCTTGTCTCCTTGCATGGCCATGTGATATTTCTGCACGTCCCGCTCTATGGATGCAACGCATGCATGAGGGAGCATAGGGTTAAAGCTTGGTCGTCGGGCAGGAATCTCCCAGCTATGACATGCAGGGCGTGCAAGGGTTAAAAGCTTGGTCGACGGGCGTGCATGGCGACCTCCTTGGTCGCCCGGAGTGCATGGCGACCTAGGAGGTCGCTGGGAGTGCATGGCGACCTATGGGTTGGGTTGTGCATGTCCCATGCACATGATCATTCCCTCGTCGGAAGCTGCCACGTCGTAGGTCGCCCGGAAGGCATGGCGACCTACGGCCAACACTGTGCAATTCGCCTTACTTCAGCAATTAATCTTTGGAGAACATTATCTCTTGAAATAAATAATTCCAACACATTATCTCGTAGATTTAGCCTATTTAATAGGTGCCACGAGATGAGGAGGAAGCAGATGTGAGGAGCGAAATTTGGGGGATGAGTTGGGTGAGTGGGTTAGGTTTAGGTGTTTAGTGGTTTAGTGGGTAGTTGAGTAGGTGGTTTTTTTTACTGGTAGGGTGCAAAAAATATTAAAAAGTATTAATAAAATAATAATAATAATTTATATAAATGTATATTTGTATGGTCAAAAAAGTGTGTCTACACATTCGACTTAATTTTTTGAGATAAAATTTGAATTCGACTCAACCACCTTGAAATAATAAAAAATATTATTTTTATTCAATAAAAATAAAGATTTAATTGAAAAAAATAAAATATAGAGAGCTATTATTGTAATTATCCATAAATATATAAGATAAAATTATATTTTTTCAGGTCGGATATTTTTCACTATAAACTCAACCCGACTCGATCCAAACCTAAATTTTTTAAACCTGACCCGACCCGTCAGGTTTGGATCTCATGCTCATCCCTACTTTGTTTCTAAATTACGTTTGTACCAAAATAACAATCAAACTTTAATTTCCCCAATTGTTTTTAATAATAAATATTACTTAATAAGCTAAAATTTTAATATTCTATTTTTTTAAAATCATTTATTTAAATAAATAAAATTATAAATATTAACTTTTAAAATCTCTAACATTTTGAAATCATCACCCAAATGAAACTATTTTTTTTTGAAAGAACCAATTCATTATATTAAATAGCATTCATGAGAATAACAAACTTAATACAATCGAGTTGATCATAATAAAACCAATACAGATTGGGTCTCGACAAAGCTCATTGAGCTAGTGTGTGAACCACTCGATTCGCCTCACGGTTGACGTAAAAAACTTTGATCTCCCAATTCCTTGTCAATAAAATACGTGCTTCATTGTGCAACAATCTAATGGTTGAGACATATTCACTCTGGTTGGAAAGGTTGTTCACTATGGAGATTGCATCTCCTTTAATAACTGCGTCCATTCATCCGTTCTTAATGGCGAATTTAATCCATTGTGTGAAGATTATCGCTTCCGTTGATTCTGCCATGAAGGGTGGATCAATTTGGTAGCACATGCCCCCAAGGGCCAGTCCATTTTGATCTCTAGCGACGATACCAATTGCAACAGAGGCATTTGATGTTTTAAACGACTCATCAATATTTATCTTGATCGAGTTTTGCTTAGGACGACTCTAATTGTGCAGTTTTATCAACCTCTGTTAGGGAGTGATGAAACTTCCACACGAGTTCGCTTCAAGAATTCTGCACAAAGCCCCCAGTCGGCAACCATCACATCTCTATCCTCTTACATCTCTTCATCATGCATCCATTTTTTTCCTTCGGTTCCATACGTTCCATAGAAGCACAAGGAGCTTGGAAAGTCCCTCCAAGTCCATCTGAGAAGCCGTCCATTCAAGCCATTCCTTGCAGGAATCCCCTTACCAATCGATGATAGAAGTTTTGAGCCCTGAGATTTGGAGAATAGCACGAGTCTTAGGATAGTCCTTTAGGGCATAAATTGTTGTTTCAATTTCATTACCACACATGGGATAGATCCCCTCAAATAACTGTTACCACACATGGGATAGATGTTGGAACCGTCGGCGCACCCCATGACGCAACAGAAAAAATAATTTGACAGTTTCACCAGCGATCCAAGTACGAAATACAATAATCGGGAGGAAGAGATGCAAAATTTCACTTTGGGTTCCTTGAATAGCAGCAACAGGTATGAGCGGTTCGAATCGTAAATCCTCCACGAAATCACATCTCGATGTCTACTTAGTTCACCCGATTGAGAGCAAAAAAATTTACTTTTCCCAAAACTATTTTGATAAAACGTGTAAAGTCTAAGGAGAAGATAGAAACGACTACTAGGCCAATCTTTTCCTTTTATAATGTTGTTGGCCTAACACTTTGGGTTTTACGAATTAATTAAAAGAAAATAATTACATTAATTATATTCCTTTTAATATTTATTTAGTATATACGGTATAATTAAAATCATATATATATATATATATTGATCTTAATTATATATATTGTGCATGTGTAACTAATTATAATTTGCTCATCTTAACCCTTGGGTGTGACCCTGTATGTTCCTGTAACGTTAGTAGTAATATTAGAACCATTCTAACACTACAAACAATGAGTGACATATAGCAATATATAATTGTCATCTAAGTTACAAGAAATCATGATTCGACATAACATCTTCGTAACCAACTCTATTATGTATCATATCATTTTGTCATTTATATATAGAATAAGCACAAGTCTCGGAATAATCACACTTGTATAGCCCATATATTCTTTCTTGATATCTAAAGTAGACTATAATAAACGAATAATTTGTGATATCTCATATCAACTTATTCGAGCATGACCATGCATTTTTAGTCTCACTCAATCAAGTGGCCTGTGATATGTTCAATATCAGTCTTTATAGTGCAACCAATTAAGGAACATGTTTAACCGTATCAAAACATACAATAATATATGTTGAGATAGTAATGATCTCAAGTCTGAGGATCATACATATAGTCATCACCAAGAGCAATGTTGTGACCATTACATAATAATCCAAGACATATGCTCATAGCGGATCAATCCAATATATTGTTCTCTAACGACATATTCATGCATTGATTCTGACATCTCTATGCCAATGACATCTTAGTGTCATAAATCAATAATATGTTATTCTTAACTGTATTATTATTGTCTATGCCCATAATAATACTCGACTAAGGACCTTTCAATAATAATCATATTATTATATGGACATTATTATCTGTTAGTTAATTTAATACACATAAATATAATAAAAGAAAATAACGGTAATGCCTTTATTCAATAAAAACGGTAAAGATAGTGTGTTAATACAATCATTACATATTAGTCTTTGAGCATACTCTAACAATAGATCCCCCCAAATAACCAAGATTTCTTCATTTTTCCCCTGTAGGGATTGCCCCATGACACAATCTCCAGCCCAAAATCTTTATTTTGGGCAAGGTAGGTAGTTTGTTGTGTGTTTTCCATATTTTACCTTGTGCAGTGGGGAGACCCTTTTGTAAAAGAAGTTAGTTGCACCCCGACTTGGTTGAGTAGCATTTTGTGTTGTGATGACTCCAAATCAATTTGTCTTCTTGAATGGGGGCTATAAGTGTTACCAGGACTTTGTTCGCATCTTCAGAGGTGAGCACCTACTGTATCTTTGCTTCATCCTATCTGGGGACATTTGAGCAAAAAGTTAACACATTTAAATGGGGAATCCTCGTTATCCCGGTAAGAGAAAGACCAGTTGATCAGGAAAGCATTCCCACACTCATCAAGGAACATTCTAACCTCTCCCTTAAACCCGATCCTCTAGAAGAAATCGTCTTTCAAGGATTATTTTGCTTTGAAGAGGCTAGTCCAAGCGTAGGAGGCCCTATCTCCTAGTTTGACATCCATAAAGGAGTTAGGAAAATACTTTACCTTGAAAACTTTGAATGCCAGAGAGTTATGGTCATGTAAAAATCTCCATATTTGGTTCCCCTGCAAGGCGAGATTAAATAGATTGAGATATCTGAAACCCAAGCCTCCTAGTCACTTTGTACTACAAACTTTTTCCTAATCAACCATAGCCATCCTTTAGTATCATGCTTTCCCAACCACTAGAATGACCTAGTCTAAGTAGTGTTGTCCTCAATTATGCCTTCTAGAAGAAGATAACATGACATAGCATACGTGGGGAGGTCTTGTGCATCCGATTTGAGGAAAATCTCTATCACCAAAAGAAATAAGATTTTTAGTCCAACCTTGAATTCTTTTAGCTATTTTTTCCTTAGAAAAACTAAATATGGAGATTTTCCCTTTCCCCATAACAAGCGGGAGGCCAAGGTATGTTCTTGGATCATCATTTTCTTCAACACTAAAAACTTGTATAATGCTTCTCCAGTGATCAGGGTGTGTTGATGCTGAAGTAAATGTTAGATTTGTCATAATTGACTTTCTGTCCAGATGACTGCT